AAAATATAAAAAGTTCCGTACACGCGTTAAGGAAAAATATAAAAAGTAATATTTCGCAACATTGACGACGTAGTATGCTTCTTTAGACATTTTAAAGCAATTTTTGTTGAATAAGTTATTCATTTTTTTGCCTATTAAGCCCAGAAAATCAATTTTTATTTGACCCCTTAACGCGTCTTTAATCATTGTTTTTCATCAAGATGAATATTTATTGAAAAACAATGTATAGTTCAAGAAAACTTCAACAGATTTTATGACTTATAAGAAGAAATTTGTAAAATAATGTCATCCTTTCAAAGAAACAGAGAAGCTACAGTTAGCACTAAACCTACCAGCATGCAATGTATACTTAAAAATTAAAAATGAAGTTCAGAAATAAAGCAGACGTGAATTCTTATACACATTAATTCTTCGTCTTGATGAAAGCCAATGTATAATTCAAGAAAACCTGGTCAACAGATTTTAAGACTTATAAGAAGAAATTTGTAAAACAATGTCATCCTTTCAAAGAAACAGAGAAGTTATAATTAACTCTAAACCTACCAGCATGCAATGTATACTTAAAAATTAAAAATGAAGTTCAGAAATAAAGCAGACGTGAATTCTTATACACATTAATTCTTCGTCTTGACGAAAGTCAATGTATAGTTCAAGAAAACTTCAACAGATTTTATGAAATAAAATAAGAAATTTATAAAACAGTCACTTGACCATTTTGTTAGTTTCAGTGCTAAATCAAAGTTAGATACAATAATTAAACAAATGTGAGGAACAATGATTAAGTCAATGTCAGTATATTTAACAACTTATCTACCACGTCTAGCTACTTTGAAAAAACGATCAGTTCACCCCTTAGCTTACAATGACGCCTCAAAGACGTAAGTCTACCAGGCCAAACATAAATAAGACGATTTTGTTGTTGTTTATGACACACAGGTGGAAATTAAATCGTAAGGCAAGGGGTTGATTATGAAATTAAACAAGCACATAAATTAAGGTGAAGTGGGGTAAGTTCGTAAACGGGGTAAGTGCGTATACAGCTATTTTTATTACAATATGAGCGGAATTTCTCCATTAATATGTTTGTTTCCTTGTTTTCTTTCACTATATCCCCTTTTATATTTCAGCTAAGAGTACTTGTTTGCAGTATAGAGTACTTGCATAATGTAGTAAAAAGCATTTTATAGCAGATTTGTTAATAATTCTGCTCTTGCCCCATTGCACATGAAATAAAGTTTCAAAGTATTTAACTTCAAGTTACGCTCTTAGCCCATTTTCGGGGAAAGTGCAGAGTAGTTGACATTTTATACAATTTCCTATCAAAATCAAAATGTACAAGGAAAATTAAGGTCCTAGTCAATATTAATTAAATAGTAGTAATTGTGCAAAGCGTTCGATATCGACAGCGTTAAGTATTTACATAGCAAACTGAAAATACTTACGTTTAAATATCAACTTTACAAAAACCAGTCTGCATTTACCCCACTTCACCTTATATTCAATTATAACTGTTCCTAGGTTCGTTAATTGTCAATAGATACAATGATAGCCAATACTCTAAAATTCCTGGATAGAAATACATTATCAAAAATATTTTTTTTTCATATCCTTCGTAGCTTACATATTTCAGTATAAACAATATAAGATCAAATAGTATAAATTTAAATTTTTGTGTATAAAAAGGTATTCAAATAATAAGACAGAATTGTGTAGAAGCTTTATTTATGGTTCAGCCAGTTTATTCAAAGAAAATGCAGAGAAATTATTCTTGAACAATTATAATGAGAATAACAAATTATGTTCTTATATGATACGAACGTATTTGCTTATTCTATGGTTATTCATAATATATTGATTAATATAAATTATTATGAATAATGAAAGAATGAAATTACATATGTTTTTCGTGAAAAAGAAATGAAATTTATCACTGAAATTTTGGACACAGACACTCAGATACAAAACACACGAGCTAGGTCAATTATCAATATTAATCGAAGTTTGATCTCTGTTATATTGATAAAACGCAACATGGTTTAGAATTATAGTTACTATGTAATTTTTGAAGCAGACATGACATTATTGGAGTTAGAATAAATCCATCGAATTAAATTAGAATTAATTCATCGGGGGATTTTTTACTCAATATTCCAATTTGAATATTTTGTTTCAAGGTTTATAAATTTGGAAGGCATTCGATTTCCAAATTTACCAATTTTAGATCACTGAATTTCTGAATTAAGGAATTTTCAAATTTGTCAGTTTTCGAGTAATAAAAATTTTGAGTACGAAAATTTTGAATTTCTTGAGCTTCTGAATTTATTAAACTTGGAAATTTAGCAAATTTTATATTTAAAAATTTAATGATTTCTATATTTCCATATGCCTCGATTTTCATATTTTCAAATTTCTGAATTTCCAAATTCTCAAATTGGAATTTGTATATTTTGGAATTTAAAAGTATGGAAAATTGGAAATGTGGGAATTTAAGTGTACGAGAATTTAAGAACCGGGGAATTTGGACATTTGGAAATTTGAGTATTTAGAAATTTTGGAATTTAAGGATTTGGAAATACAAGATTTTCAAAATTTTTAAATTAAGGTTTCTAGTATTAAAAATTTTGTGAAACCTACAAATATGCAGTTAAATTGAATTAATTCTGTATTTATTTCAGTGTCCTACCAAGGATATTCTGTCGAGCAAATATAAGTCACTTAATTATTTATTAATGTCTGTACTAAAATATTCCAATATTCCAAAACTCGATCAATGCACCCACGAATTTAATGCTTATAAACAATCCAAACGTTTTTCCTTTAAACAAGCTACCCGAGCATCTGCTACCTCACAGGGCAGGTTTTCGATATTGGGCAAAGCGTATATTATATATGATTTGTCCAGTGTCAGTTCCTTAGGTTTCGTCGGGATATAGTCTTTGTCCTTGCTTATGACTAACGCCAAATATCCGACTGTAAAAATACATTTTTTTATACAATATGTTATAAACGATACAAGCATAATGACATGTGCAATTATTTCAAAGAGTGTTTGTTTCTTGAAGAAATGTTTTAAGTACCAAAATACAGAAAATGTAGATAGAAATTAAAAAATTTTATGGCCGTAGAAATTTTGAAAATTAAAACTGTCGAAATTTAAGAATTTTATGGTGTAGAAATTTTGAAAATTAAAACTGTAGAAATTTAGAAGTTTTCATAAGTATCCACTGCATAAGTGCACGCAAGTGCGGTGACCATTCAGCGGACACATGTGACCATGTATAGTTATCGATGTATATTAATCAAATACGTACCTTTCTCTACCACTGAACAGGTACAATCCGGGTCTATCTTCAACTTAGTAATAAAACGTGATCGTTTAACATTGCGAGATGGACTCATATCCGTTATTGTTTGCATTTCACTCTTTGATCTGAAATACACTTTGCCTACGGATTTTGCAGAACAGTAAACATCGGTGATGTTCAAGGGAAGGTTATCTACACATACAGGACAATCAGGTTCCTTCTTCGGTTTATCGTCGTCCTAAAAAATTGTGTAAATTTATATCGAGTAAGAGGTCTCTTCATCAAATCAATTTATGTACAAATATTTGTGTTCGAGAGCCAGAGAATTAAGTTATATTTATCAAACTTTCGAGAGCCAAAGATGCAAAATTGTTGGGATAAAAATTTATTACTTTATTGAAATGTTCAAATTTTCAAATTTTCGTGTTTTCAAACTTTTAAATATAAAAATTGCCTAAGATTCTACATCCTGACATTTCGAGATCTTCGACCCCTCAAATATCCCAATGATATAATTCCAAAATCCCCAATTTCAAATTCAAATTTCTTCAATTTTTAAACCTTCCTGTTTAATTCGATTGTTTCTTTCCTAGTTAATGCTTTGTAATGTGTGGATAATCAATCAGTATTTAAAATAATAACTAATATCAAATTATATCGACGCAATTACCAACTATACCTTATTTGTATCAGTAGTATTCGCATCATCTACTGTGTTTGGTATTATAATGACAGATCCTGTGGTATTCTTTACCGGCACGCATATTGAAAATTTGTCATCCTTAGTGGTCGGTACTGTCGTATTACACTCTTGATTAATTGTATACGTCTGAAAGTATTTATATTCATTAAAATTATTGTTTCACATCGCTACATAGGATTGCTCCTTCACAATAAACGATAATAACTCAACAACAAAGTTTGTAAGACTTACGGCCATTGCGTACAGCTCGGGACGATAATAGTCGTAAACTTTCACATTCGTTGGCTTAAAGTTGTTCACATCAATCTGTTTTCTTGCCTTGAAGGAAACACAGGTGTTTTCCTTAACAAGTTTGTCGAAATAAAGATGTAGATCATTATTTTCAATCTCGTACTTCTGTATCTCTGTTATGCATACATTATTCACGATTAATATTATTTCATTTTTATTATTAGGCTAATCGGAAAGTTCTACCGATTCAAATGGGTAACTGCGTTTGATTGAAACAACGTCTAGATGCGAAAACATATTGAACAATCCGTAGCATTAGAAAATAGATTTTTCTAGTATGTGACGATTAGTAAATGTCATTTTCAACGAAGCTATAACTGCCGAAAATTTTGTGCATAAAGACTTGTTAATACGCAAGTGAATTGCATGTGTGACGCTTCTCTCACAAATATTCATACTACTTTATCTATACGGTGCTCTATTTCGAGTGAACCACGGTCTTCGAAATATTTTACGGGATTTGACAGAATTTGATTTTGTTTCGGAATCAAAAGAATTGACTTCCGTCGAAAAATACATTCCGATATAACTTTCTGATCAACCTAATATTTCCACTTCGTTAAGAATGTAGATTTACTTCGTGATGTAAGTAACAGATCCAAACTATCTCGATCAGGCATGTAACCGGTCAACATAGAAACCTCCAGTATAGCCATATTGGTGTAACCATCTGACCCCTTGTATCGGGCACAAGGTGTAAACTCAAGTATGTTGCACTTGCCAGCGACAACCGAACGAATAGTAACCGACACGTCGAAATGTTGACTGGGCTGAGGTAGAATGTTGTACTTCACGTTGATCTAAATCGAGCAAGAACAAATATACAATTCGTGAAACTTGTTGAAAACTGAAATACAATGTGGAGTGAACATATGACAGAAATCATCAGATTCACTTGGTACATGTCAAAGTGGTACTTTTCAAAGTTTTTTCGTATTTTTAAAAGTATCTGTAATCTATTTACCGAACCTGAAATCGTTTATTAGATATTGAAACGTTTTCTTTCTATGAGATTTGATCGCATGCTTATATGGCGTCACAACCTAAACATGGTCGCGCTGTAAAATAGTCATCGATGTTGTCTCACGCGGCCATTTTGTATACCATAGGAACAATACCTAATTCTGATACTTTACAAGCTCTAAAAATGACGAACCGAAATTTCTGCACTGTTGCAACAAGCGAACAATATATTAATGTACCGCTACGATATCGAGGATGTAAATTATAATTTGCAATGGCGTAACCTTACCTGTGCCACAGCGCAGCCGTAACCTTGAACTAAAAGGTTCACTGAAGGCGGTTTATCAGGAAAACGAACAACCAGAGGTGTCATAGCGGTGTCATTCTTCAATTTATATGAACGCTCTAGTTGCCCCGCTTTCACAGAAATATTCAGATTGACAGATTTACTGCCTCCTAGCACAGCATACGTGGTAAGTGCTTGTAAAGCCAGCGCTGTGTCCTGTGTAGACACAAATCCACCAGCGGAGTTTTTGTGCTTCAGTAACCAACGAACAGCCTTCGCAGAGTCAGTCGCATTTTTACCCTCGCACAGCCGCGACATCGCAAGAATCATGTAAGATGTCATTTCGATGCTCGAACCTAATGAGTTATGTTTCGAGTCCGCCCACCATAGTGTATCCTTAAATTCACAAAGAAAAAGGTAAACGCAACTGCGTGTGCTTATAAGTAGTGACTTAATACATACTACTCCAGAATTAGAGATGTTCAGCATTTCCTTTACGGCAGTTTCAGCAGTCGTGTGATTCAACAGAGTGAGTGTGTATGTAGTCATAATCTTGGTGTACAGGCTACTGTTGAGATAAGCCCTTTCTCTTTCTATGCAAGACATTGCATTTTCGATTGTAGCGTTTGGTACTGTAAGGTTCGATTCGAGCAGCGAGTTTAAGATGAAGACTGTCAGTGGCGCCGTTGAATCGTCATTTTCAAGACCACCCTGAAAAACAGATGTATTTCATTTTTTCGTTAGACTCAATTATAAAAAACATCCAAATAATTATAAATAATCATGCAATTCTAAGGGTTTAAATTATTAAACTATCCGGTTTAGTCTAACTTTCTATTTGTTTTTCACGAACCTTCATATCTTTGTGAACAAGTGATCCTATCATGGGGAAACAGCCATTAGGCAACTGTTGTTTCACAATCCAGTCTGCAGTTTGCTGAAGTTCAGTTTTACTGATGTAGATATATTTTTGAGCCAATGCAAACGCTTTTAACACGAACGCGGTCAGCCATATGGAACTTGGAGAGTTTACGAATGTTGAGTACGAACCATCGTTAACTCTATAGTTGAGCTCCGTCTGATATCCTGTGTTTGGCATAAAACGCACAGCCTTCGCAGAGTCAGTCGCATTTTTACCCTCGCACAGCCGCGACATCGCAAGAATCATGTAAGATGTCATTTCGATGCTCGAACCTAATGAGTTATGTTTCGAGTCCGCCCACCATAGTGTATCCTTAAATTCACAAAGAAAAAGGTAAACGCAACTGCGTGTGCTTATAAGTAGTGACTTAATACATACTACTCCAGAATTAGAGATGTTCAGCATTTCCTTTACGGCAGTTTCAGCAGTCGTGTGATTCAACAGAGTGAGTGTGTATGTAGTCATAATCTTGGTGTACAGGCTACTGTTGAGATAAGCCCTTTCTCTTTCTATGCAAGACATTGCATTTTCGATTGTAGCGTTTGGTACTGTAAGGTTCGATTCGAGCAGCGAGTTTAAGATGAAGACTGTCAGTGGCGCCGTTGAATCGTCATTTTCAAGACCACCCTGAAAAACAGATGTATTTCATTTTTTCGTTAGACTCAATTATAAAAAACATCCAAATAATTATAAATAATCATGCAATTCTAAGGGTTTAAATTATTAAACTATCCGGTTTAGTCTAACTTTCTATTTGTTTTTCACGAACCTTCATATCTTTGTGAACAAGTGATCCTATCATGGGGAAACAGCCATTAGGCAACTGTTGTTTCACAATCCAGTCTGCAGTTTGCTGAAGTTCAGTTTTACTGATGTAGATATATTTTTGAGCCAATGCAAACGCTTTTAACACGAACGCGGTCAGCCATATGGAACTTGGAGAGTTTACGAATGTTGAGTACGAACCATCGTTAACTCTATAGTTGAGCTCCGTCTGATATCCTGTGTTTGGCATAAAACGCTAGTAATTAATAGCTACAAAAGAATAATTGTTACTAAACGGTGATAAACGCATTCCGAACGTAGGTCCACACACAAATCATCGGAACGTTTTTAGTTCTCTATTTTCTGTACTTAGGATTCGCAACGAAAGAATCTCAAAAAATTCTATAACACATCTCGCCGCGTTTACAATGTCGAGGAATATTTTCGGGATTCTCGCCACTAAATTGGGAAAGTAGGGTAAACTCGGTAACTAGAATACAACCTTTGAAATACAGATTCGAAATTTGTACAATGTTTTTTGATAAGTAATACGACATATTACAAGGTTTAACTGCATTTTTGACCTCCTTATACATTTGCAAGCAAAATGAATTTAAAAAAGCAATTCCGTATCCAAGAGACTAATCCAAGACTATTTACTCTTTAAAAAAATAGAGAAACTCGAACAGTTACAAAGTTGGTATATAAAAATTGATTAACTGGAAGAACTTGGTTTAGACACTATTTTGATAATTTAGAGGCCTGGTTTTGACCCTCAGGAAATGAAGTATCAATTACGTACCTCGTTCTAAATTACTGATCGCACTTCCTCGCATCGTGATATGTCTGATCTTCAGAGTATCAATAAACGTTATCACGAATATATTTGGCACGAACTTAGCTATATTCTGTTCACCACAGCCAGTCGGTACTTTGACGAGTTCTTTCAAATTATCAGGTGTCAATCCTAGCATATTTCCTACCACAAACAGGCTCGATTCTATAGTCTCCTCTATGACATATACCTCGGTGGGGTATGTCACATTGAACGTGTATTTCAAATCAATAGAAGCGTTCACCGTACAAAGCAACGCTGTGGTCGATCTTTCTACTTCGAAACCTTCTCCCACAACTTTAACTGGTTTCGTAACCTCGATCCTTGAAAAAGAAGATAGTTAAATCAGTATCAGAAATGCAGTTCATAATTAATCATCGGGACGAACATCCCGGCCGTTATTTATAATGAAATAAATAATTTAGACTAAACTTAGTGAAAACGAGTAACGTAATTAAATGACAATGTAATCGTTTAAGTATAAAATAGAATACAATGGAAACTTAAGTACCGTGAGTCAGGTATATCTGGTCCGGCGCAGAATATAGTATTCTCCTTGTCAATAGAAATGTGAGCTACAACATTATATAATCCAATCTTCCGTGGTATTATAAAGTATTGGTAGTGTAATGTGTCTAGTGGTTGTACGCAAAAAGATATATTTAGCTGCGAACGATAGACATCGAATCCGTCCATTTTCATCTTGAGAGTGACCTGAGTAAATCGATTTATGAAGTGCATGCGTTTCGTGATAGGTATGTTTCATTTAGTGGATTAGTCATTACAGGTATTTTCCGGTTCAAGTAGTTGTGGATGGTGATGTTCACGATTATCATTTCGCCAACTTTCGTAACAGGTGGTACGTCATAATCGAAGAAGAAAGGTCGTCTATCTTGTAAGATTCGTATTGGTGCTATTCCCAGACCACGTGTTGGCGACATGCATGCTGTATGGGCGGTCCAAGTACCCATCTTGTCCGGTACGTACAGATGGTCTATTGATATATTGCTCATATTTCTGTGAAAAGTAATTTACATGCAGTTATAAAATGTAACGCTGACTTTTTTACGAGTTTTTATAGAATGGTTTAGAGTGATGAATTGAAGCTACTGATTAGAAAGATTTATAGTTTTGCGAAATATTTAGCGTTACGAAATATATCATATTTCATATCATATTTCATATTATATTTCATATCATATTTCATATCATATTTCATATAATATTTCATATCATATTTCATATGATATTTCATATCACATTTCATATCATATTTCATATCATATTTCATATCATATTTCATATCATATTTCATATCATATTTCATATCATATTTCATATCATATTTCGTATCATATTTTATATCATATTTCGTATCACATTTCATATGATATTTCATATCACATTTCATATCATATTTCATATGATATTTCATATCACATTTCATATCATATTTCATATCATATTTCATATCATATTTCATATCATATTTCATATCACATTTCATATCACATTTCATATCACATTTCACATCATATTTCATATCATATTTCATATCACATATCATTATCATATTTGTCTAATGAGATATAAGCAATTTTGTTCGAAGAGCGTTTATGCTAATAGGTAAGATGTAATATTTGTTTAATAAATATTTAATATTTATGAAATATTTTTTTTCTTCACAATTTCAGTTTCTTTTAACGATATATTTGTCGACTGCATCTGGTTGAAATATGAATTATTTCAAATACACTTGTTCAGACATCGAGAAAGTGATTTTCATGAAAACTATCGGAAGGTAACAAGATATATGTTAAATATAGTTAAAATATTAAAGAAAAATTCATACTCAAGAGGCTCGAGGTCCCAAAACCATGTTTCCGGGAAGTATGACTTAAGCAGAGAAATTTCAGCTATACTTTTTTTAACCGATATATCTGCAAATACGGAATTTATTAATGAAAAAGTCAGAATATTTTTTTATAAATTTTAAACAACGCAATTCAATATTTCTGTCTTAACTCTCCGATATTAGTGCAAGTAGTAACGTTTTGAAATTCTTAACAAAAAATTTAGAAAAGTAGAAAACTTGGTAGCTCAGGAATTTGGAAATTTATGTAAAAATAGTCATTTCGAATTTGGAAATGTAGAAATAATTATTTCAAATAAAAAGTCGTATAAATTTAAAAATACTTATCATTTGGATAATATTACTTAAGATTTGTTATTTAACCCTTATATACGAAAGTTTACTATTGATAAACACGTCGAGATTAACAACAAGCAAATATACCATAATTAGTGCTTAAGATATTACTAATATCGAGTATATCTAAAAATACTTGCCACGTGAGGGCGGTTCGTTGTTAGGCAGTTTTTTTGTAAATACTTGCGAACATGATTGTGTGGATTGTTTCATATTCGTCATCACCAGCGCTCCGAAATCCTACCAGAAAAAAGAAGAAAGCTTATAAAAAATTAGACATGTAAATTGAAGATAAAAGAAATATCAATTGATTATATTTATTTTCATTCGTTCTCGTATATCCCTCTTTGTTAATTCTACTTATTTTTTGAAATACAAGTTACGGAACATAGAGATATCATCTTCCACAATTGTACGTATATTTATAAACGTGGATATTTAGTATTCGATAATACTTTTTGGACCCTCAACAAATTTGGGAATTTCAACGTTACTCACTTTTAAATTTAGAAATATGGAAATAATGAAGCTTAGTAGCTTGCAAATTTTGTAATTTAATAATGTGGAAATTAGGAAATTTGGTAATTTAAAAAATTTAGGAATTTAGAAATTTACATGGTTGGAAATTTAGGAATTTAAAAATTCAGTAATCCAAAAAAAGCTAACCAAAATGTCTTACATTGAAAGCTTGCATCTCATATACATAATGAACTGGCCCATGATTCAGAACATCCACTCGGTTTTCCGCAAGTTCTCTCTTCTTTGTATTGTCCGTAATATCTGTACAATTAACATTCTCTATTAATTACACAATACAATTATATAGATACAAATAGTGCAAGAAAGCGTACCTTTACAACCAGACTGTAACATGATGCCCTCCATAGAAATTGGATTATTGTTCATCACCTCGCTGAACACTTTGTTATCATCAATCTTGTAATATGGTATTCCGGGTAGATCAGGTACTGATTCAACGAGTGATATTGTACAAAGAGAGTCTGGTGCAGCTTGTACAATGTATTTAACATTTTCTCCTGGTGTATAAACAATGGTGGTATTCCATTCGGCATTCACATTGTTATTGTAACAATAATCGACGTTTATTACGTGGCTTGCAGACACGATTTCACCATCCGGTCGCACGTAATAAACCAGTAATTCGGACCTTGTGGCCATGTCTGGTGTTATTTGTATGGTTATTTGAAATCTGGCAATAACAAAGTATACATCAATGCAATGATAATTTTAGCACAGTGCAATTTCCGCTGGGCAAATACCCGTTTGATGAATATCCGTTCAAAACGTCCTCACTCGCAAGCATTACTTATACAAAAGTAGTAATTAATAGAAAACAATCATTAGTACATTACTTGATTATTTAAAATCTGATTGAAACGAAGATATGTGTTAATGCATGCTAATTTTAACGCAGAATGTTGCTTGTTCAACAAATGCCCGCACAATAAATGTCCGCTCGCTCGGACAGCTTAAATTCAACGTCTTCAAAACCGGGTATTTATCAAATGACCAGTATCTGATCGCTAACATAGTGTTCCGTTAACAAAATCTAGTGTTGCAATTATTAATGTCATTGTTAATAGTTTGACAGTGCAAAACTGTCTAACGGAACTTATTCTTGACATATATACATTTTACATAGTTATGTATAGTTCACAAAAAATTATGAAACATGTTATAATTGGTCCCGTTTGATATAATTATAGTTACTTATATAATTATATAAATATGATATAATTGAAAAATATATAAATTACCTGTGTACAAGAGGATCCAGACAGTATCTCTTTCGAGAAGCTTTCAGAGCACCCAATAAATTGTCAACCTGCGAATAGTCCAATACTGTATCTGCATTTGGCTGATGTGTTATGTGTTCGTCCAACAAAATACCGCTTCTCGAATTCACAGAGTAATGGAATGTAATGGGACTCTCGTATTCAGTGCAATCAGGTAGCGTATACATCACGTTGACAGTATAGTTTTTGAAACATGTTGGGCGTTCCTTTTCTTCGATTACAACTACGTAACTATTAGATGCAGAGTATAACGGATACAAGATAATTTGCGCTACAGGTTGATTCATGAAGTTCTGAAAAAGTATTAAAAAATAAGTGAAATGCGATGGCATGTGCAGTACATAGGTTGCTATGTTGGACTATGTGGAATTAAATAATTGACAATTTGTCTAAATGAGGATAGTATACCCTTTTCAAACCAGTAAATGATACATAACAAATATACTAGCCAATTCATAAATGAAATATGTTAAATAATTTCTAAATAAAATAGAAGTATCAAACAAATAGAAAGCAAAGGAAATTAATCGAAACTTCATTTAATTCGGTATTTATTTAATAGGTATTCATTTAAAGTAACATTTACCTTCCAGTGATCAGGCTTGAAGTAATATTTCGTTGGATAATTAACTGCAGATGCAATTATAGTTAACGAAGTGGTATTTCTGCGTTGGGGTGGTATGATAAAGTCAACAGAACCGTCAGAAGAAGATGTGAAGTCGCGACACTCTTGAACGTGTCGAATATAGTCATCATTTCCGGTAGTTTCTATGCAAAGTTGAATTATCTCGTTTGGAACTGGAGTATTGTCCGGTTTTAAAACTATTATCTGAAACAAAAATATATTGTCTTACAACGTTTGTGAAAGCTGGGAAAAGTTTCTTTATCTCTAAATACATTACTTTTCCATGATAAGGCGCGTCCAGCTTAAAGTATCTGGGCATAGTCGGTGCGAATTTTAATTTGATGGATTCGTACAAAATTTCCGTCCTAGAAAAATCGCTTTGCGTAATTCCTGTTTCGTACTCCGTAAAATTCGCCGTCAAATCTATTTCTATGGGCAGGACACTCCATCGATCCAAATTAAGAACTGCTCCGGAAGTTACAATTTCCGTACATCCATCCGGTGAATTCAACTGTAAACGAACGATTCGAATTCTCCGTAGCTGCGTATGAAACGTTACGCGAAAAGAGAAACGTGACACTTACGTGTTGAACCATCTCTTCAAAGGGGTTTGGCGCGTTATGTGTATACGGAGTTAACTTCCTCACCAAAGTACTTCCATGCTGTCAATTTAATTGTAAACGAACGATTCGAATTCTCCGTAATTGCGTATGAAACGTAACACAAAAAGAAAAACGTGACACTTACCTCGAGTTTTTTAATCACCTCTTCAAAGGGATTTGGCGTTTTAGGTGCACATGGAATTATCTTTGTCTCCAAAGTACATCCATCCGACGACTTCAACTGTGAACGAACAATTCGAAATCTCCGTAGCTACGTATGAAACGTGATGCAAAACGAAAAACGTGACACTTACCTCGATCTTTTTAACCGTCTCTTCCAAGGGGTTTGTCCCGTCAGGTGCGTACGGAGTTAACTTTGTCACTAAAGTACCTCTTACTGGCACACCGTAATTGTATCTGTAATATTTATTTTCCACCGTCAGTTGAAAAGTTCCGCAAAATGACGATATCTGACTCGGTTAAACATAAACTGGATTTGTTTAATAGTTATTTACTTAAAGACAATTTCTTGAAGGGAATGATCTACTTGTCTGTAAATTTTTCCTGTCTATACGGGGCGCGTCTGGCAATGTAGGCCAGGGCTTCTTTCATTTACAGAATCAAAAGAAAATGAAAGAGTAACGAATTTCGCTGTATTTTATTTCCAATGATGACCTATATCAACTTATTATATTCGCACTATTTTTTGAGAAATTAGGATGATTTCTAGTTTTGTAAATAGAATGTTATGTTTGTTAATGTTATGCGAAAGTGTGTCAAGACGAATTCACCTGCACGAATAGGACCTTCCAAAGTCATGAATGTTGGAAGGATCAATTTCTAAAAAATGTGTTTGGAAAATATTACAAGAAACGTGTAATAACAATACCTGACACATATCTTCCATGTTAGTTTTGGTGCATCTGCCAGTATATAGGGCGGAGGAATTATTTTTACCTCATAGTTTATATAACCTTCAGCTCTAACTTCAAAATGAGAAAGAGTATAATGATCAACGTTTGGGTACATCTTCGTCAAAATGACCCATTTTCCCTGTTATGAATAATCCTCGTTTAGCACTTAGTAGCTTGGTTGATTTGGAAATGTTTGGATTTTGTTGATGTTGAAGTAAGAGGATTTGGAGATTTAGAAGCTCAAGGATATACAAAATTTGGATATTTTGTATTAGTATACTTAAAAATCATCAAATCTAGAGGTTTGGTAATATCGGGGATTAGTGGATATGTAAATGTAGGGTAAGTTATTGATTGATTTACTGATAAAATTTGAATATTTGAAATTTACCAATTTCGCACCCGAACTCAAATAGAACTTCATCTGCCTCATCCCATTTTCCGTACTCAGCTTTTTCCATTCAATTATCGTATTATCCGTCGGATTTTTTATATACATGTATGGAATCTGTAAACATCGGATATTGAGTAGAAAACAAATTTTAACACCGACATTGCAAATCTAACTATGATGGAGAAAACATTACGACCATTTTTTAAGTGAAACCATAATTGCACAATGCATTTTTTTTTCTTTAGAAGACCTAAATTATTAATTTTGAAATATTTTATAATAAATTTTTGTCAGAGTTAAATGCCCTCAATGTTTTATACCAAACTGTATAATAATTAAAGGGTATGTTTATGTGAAATTTTGTCGACGTTCGAATAATGTAGGAAATACAAATATGAATTATAGTTTAACCAAAGCACATATGTTTCATTAATTAAAATTCATTTAAAAAGTGTATTTAACCATTTAAACAAAATAAGCTTTAGAAAATAAATCATTGAGATTTTGAGAAAAGAATATTTGGGTCTGTTGCTCACCGGTTCATTCACAGGCGTGAAATCTTGATTGTATTGCAATGCGCGGATAATAACTTCTTCACCAGGCCGGTACATTCCTTTATCCGTCTGCACGACAATGAAGCGGGAATGTTGAGTAATTTCGACTTTTCTCTCCTCATACACTACATTATCAGGGTATTTAGCAAATTTGATCGTAAGTCGAATCTTCGCATCCGTTGTTTTTATCATCGGAACATTCAGTTTCAAACATGCTTTAGTACCTGTTTCAACATAACAGTTGACTTACTGTATTATTTGGTAAACATAACCCGTTTAAACATTTCTAGAATTTCCTGATATAATATGAAATAAGTGTATTGCCTCAGCATCTATCAATTATCGGTTAATTAATCTTAACGTTGTGCGAAACATTAATAAGTACGCGGTGATTGGAAAGACAAAAATATATCATGTTCAAAGTAATTATAAAATATCACGATAAATTGAACATCAGACTGCGATATTTATCAATTTTTACATGTTTATACATTCATAAATTTTTCGATAAATATATAGTACTGTACTTCAAAAATGACTGATTGAAAAACATAGAGGGACAGACGTTGAATGATAGCTATTTTATAGAAAAATTTGCACATGTTGGTGCGAGGATTTTTAAATTGTCACATTTTTTTATGCTTTGTATGTTGCAATGAATGCTGAATATAGTGAAGTTCCTGTAACCACTCTGTTTGTTTGTCTGCACCACGCATAAGCCGCAAGTTTGGGTCTTATGATATTCGGAAAGTAATTTGAGGGACACTCTGACAAAATCTAACGAAAGGAACCTGTTACTGATGTCGAATCGATAAAACAACCGTGTTTTGGCACCACACGTTGTTAAAAGCTCTATAACTCATCGCTGTCGACAACACGTGGTTGTCACTTATGTGAGTAGCCGTGAAATCAGCAACAATTATGTTTTGTATAGTTTTCAGTAGTGTCAGACACGTTTAATCGTTCGGAACTACTTTAAAGTATTTACATCCCATTCTTGCTCTACATATTTATACTAGGTACTCGAAATTTCAAATTTATACTCGAATTCGCGTGAGACACCTGATCTACAGAGCCACTAATATTTTATACTTGTTTACCTGTTGTTAAATTGTAGCTGGCAGTGGAAATTACTTTGCTTTGGTGCAATAATTCGGTAGTAATATACGCTGGTGGTTCTACGTTTTGCAAAGATATGCATCCTGTCGTAGTTACACCAATTGGAAGTTTATATGGTATTGTAAACACATAACCCCTGGAAACAGTACAACATTTGGCACGGTTTTTAAACTGCCTACTATTTCGACGATAAATTTAAAAATCGAGAGATCCGTAATTAATTTGAAAATTTGATTTATTAATTTAATAATGTATATGATCCTCCACTGTTACATTAATTTCTCAAACTTATTTTTAAGTTAACAAACTTTCTTAAGCCATTTTTATGACACAAAACAATGAAAAGTTAAGTCTTAACACCAGTGACAGTGTCATTTATGCGCGAGTTAAATGGTTTCATAAATTAAGTTTACAAATACGATAAAAGTTTAAACGAATAATGATCAATTACCGTTTCTTCTCCAAATTATCTGCATTGCATTGCAAAAATCCCACTGAACAACAAAGTACGATAAATATCATTAATTTATCCATTTTGTTCGGTTAGTCTCACTTTGTCTAGCGTTTATTTTTGATAATCCGTGCGAGCATACATGCTCTTCGAGTTATTCAAATTCGTAGCTTCGCTTCACGTTTGTTCTACAAATTTTGAATATGTTGAAAGTATAAAAAGTGATTGAGAACGTGTCGATACGCGGTCGACACGCTGAACACAGACTGAAAGCGCGATATTCGTACACTCCCTCTTATATCCTTCTGAAACTCTAACAAGTAGAAGCAAAAGAACAAATTCTTTATATTTAAGAATTTGTGTTTTCGAAAGTTAGTAAATTAAAAAATTTCTAAATTCGCATGTTTCCGAGCCACTAAATTTGAGAATGGCTATTTATAAAAATTCCTACGTTGGATAATTGTCTTATAACTTCTGCATTTTATCAGTTTGTAAAATCAAAAATTGGGAAATGTTTTAACTCGAAAATCTAAATGATCCGATTCTTAAAAATTTATGTTATTAAAAATTTTTCAATTGGAACGCTTTTAAATGTGCAGCTTAATAAGCCTTACATTGAAGTTCTTGTGATCTTGAAAATTGTAAATTAAATATTTGCAAAGACTGTAAACTTGAAAATACCTAAGTTTGAGAATTTGTGATATAGGAAGTTCACAAATGTCTAATCTTCTAAATTTGAAAATTTCTAAATCACTCAGTTTGAAAACTGATATATTTGAAACATTAAAAGGTTGTAAATTTCTTAATTAGGCATTTTGTAATCGGAAGGTTCAACAAAAATTGGTATAATTGCTTGAGACTAACTTGGAAGCAATGTACTGAACAGAGAGAATATTAAACAGGTTCGGTAGGTTCGTGTTATATCATTTTTTTATTTTGTATCTGACCGAGACTTTTCTGATGGGTACTGAACGATTTGAAGGTAGCGGATTCCGATTAAAATACTCTTTTACCTTCTTTTTCATATTTTTCTGTGTTTTGCGCAACCGACCTTTGTCACAAGAATGTGAAATCTATAAAACATTTCTTAATATACGCCGCAGTAATCAAGTGTCGTTATCGTTGAACGTAATTTATCGAAGCAGGAAAATAAAAGTTCATGTAATGTGACAACTTTTATCTAAATACAAGATAGTTATTATTAAACGGTACAGAAACTTTTTTTTAATGAAGTGGTTAACAAATATTATTTTGTGATCTTTCTCATTTAACCATTTACAAGGAGTGGTTACTGCAAATGATTAGTCACAATTTTTGTTAGTTGAATGTTACGCGATGAATAGAATAAAAGACATTGTAATACAATTTTAGTAAAACAAGTACAATTAGTATTAGTAGTATATACTAGTGTATATCTACATTAAATAAAACTGGTATAGCATAAAGGGTGGCTGAGTAAGAACACATTTTTATCATCTTATTATTTATTAACAAATTGACAGTTATATTACTGTAATTTTATTTAAATCAACATTTAATTTGAGTTAGTAGCAGACGTAAATAGGGATACCTCCACAATAACGAGTATTAAAACACAAGACTGATGCTTAAATGTGTGAACTTACTGGTTGATTTTACTGTATATATTTAGATATGTTAAAAATTGCAGTTTTTGTACATTAATCTTCAGGAATAGCAATCTGGCCAAAGAAGCAAAAAGAAGAAGGGAAATTGCTGTTGCCAGGCATGATAACATGTAGTCTCCTTGAGCGATTTTTATAACATGTATACTCTTCTCAACCTTGAACAGGTCAAGCACCGTTGTCAATTGCTCGACTATGCAATGGTTCTCATCCCTTTTCGTAATCCTAGTTGTAGCCTGTGACTAATGCTATGTAGATTATCCTATTTGATAGTTGGCCAACTTAGGACTGTTAATTAGCCTGGGTGCCAAAGATTTTAGACGTGGAGACTAGGCGTTGCATGGCTAATGCCGGGTGCTTCAGAAAATGATATGTGAAGTACTCGACGTGTATCTAATGCCGGGTATCATAGAAAATGTTAGTAATAGGTTTTGTAACTAGATTTTGATTGGATGTCTCGTACTTAGGTACAGTTAAGGTACATCGACCAGTTTCTGGATTATGATTACAATTAAATGTGGTGATATTTGAATATAAATTTGAATATAAAATTGAATATATTAATGATAACTTTAATGATAATTTACGATAATTAATGATAATTTTGAAATTATCAATTAATGATAATTTTGTGTTATTCCAATTATTTTTTTTATTTCTCTCATTTATTCTTCCTTTTGTTCATAAGAATATGTATAAAAATATTTTATATCTTTTTATATTCTCCACAGCTTACATACTTTCAATATAAATAATATATAAAAACGAATAGGGCAAATTTAAATTATTATGTCTAGAAAGGTATTGCATAAATAATAAGACGAAATTGTGCAATTCGGTAAATCAAAAGCTTTATTTATTATTCAACCAGGTTATTAAGAGAAGACGCAGAGAAATTATTCTTTAACAGTTATAATGAAGATAATAACAAATTATGTTCTTATAAGGTAAACACGTGATCACTTATTCTATGATTACTCATGAAAAATTGATTAACATAAATTATTGTGAACGGAGAAGGAATGGAATTACATACATCTCGTGAAGTAAAAATTAATGAAATTTATACACCGGAGCGAAGCCAATTTCTCATCGCAGTTCTAAAAAATATTGAACTTGGGAAATTGAAAATTTCTTCAATTTTGAAATTCAAAAATTCAGAGAAAAATACTTCTTTTTTGAAATTGAACTTGTTCATAGTACATAATCATTTACTATTATGTATTTCGAGGTGGACTCAGATTCGATATTGTTTGCATTTCATACTTTGCTTTGAAATACACTTTGGCTACAAATTTTGCGGAACAGTAAACACCGGTGATGTTTGAGAGAAGTTGATCTAAGTATATAGGACAATCTGCAGTGTTCTTTGTTTTCTTTTCCTCCGAAAAAATTGTATAGCTGAATTTATATCGAGTAAGAGGTCTCTTCATCGAATCAATTTATGTACAAATATTTGTGTTCGAGAGCCAGAGTGGATTTAGTTACATTTCTCAAACTGTCGAGAGCTAGCCAAAGATGCAAAATTGTTGGAATAAAAATTTATTACTTTATTGAAATGTCCTATTTCCAAATTTTTAAACCTCAAATATCCGAATTGCCTAAGATTTCACCTCCTGACATTTCGAGATCTTCGACCCTTCAAATATCTCAATGATATAATTCCCAAACCCCCAATTTCGAATCCAAATTTTTTCAATTTTTAAACCTTCCTTTTCTTAACGTCCGTTTAATTCAATTGTTGCTTTCCTAGTGAACAATGCTTAGTCGTAATATGTGGATAATCAATCAGTATTTAAAATAATAACTAACATCAAATTATATCGACGCAATTATCAACTACACTTCTGTTCTGTATGGTATAAAAGTAGTTGCAGCTGTTGGTGTTCATGGACTCGTGGTAGCTGTGCTGGTTAGGTTCTTTCTGAATCCTTTATCTTACCATTATAAGTGGCAACAGTTCCCAGGATATCTTCTACTAGCATGTAAATTGAAAGTTTTACATACTTGTCGAGCAGTTCTGTGTTATTACACCCTCGATTAATTGTATACGTCTGAAAGCATTTATATTCATTATAATTGTTTTACATTACTCGGATTGCTCCTTCATAGTAAACGATAATAACTCAACAACAAAATTAGTAACTTAAAGACTTACGGCCATTGCATTCAGCTCGGGACGATAATAGTCGTAAACTTTCACATTCGATGGCTTAAAATTGTACACCTCAATCTGTTTTCTTATCTTGAGTGAAACACAGGTCACTTCCTTAATAAGTTTCTCGAAATAAAGATGAAGCTTATTTTCTTTAATCTCGTACTTCTGTATCTCTGTTACGCATATATTATTCACGATTAATATTATTTCATTTTTACTATTAGGCTAATCGGAAAGTTCTACCGATTCAAATGGGTAACTGCGTTTGATTGAAACAACGTCTAGATGCGAAAACATATTGAACAATCCGTAGCATTAGAAAATAGATTTTTCTAGTATGTGACGATTAGTAAATGTCATTTTCAACGAAGCTATAACTGCCGAAAATTTTGTGCATAAAGACTTGTTAATACGCAAGAGAATTGCATGTGTGAAGCTTCTCTCACAAATATTCATACTACTTTATCTACACAGTGCTCTATTTCGAGTGAACCACGGTTTTCGAAATATTTTACGGGATTTGACAGAATTTGATTTTGTTTCGGAATCAAAAGAATTGACTTCCGTTGAAAAATACATTTCGATATAACTTTCTGATCAACCTAATATTTCTACTTCGTTAAGAATGTAGATTTACTTCGCGATGTAAGTAACTGATCCAAACTATCTCGAACTGGCACGTAACCGGTCAACATAGAAACCTCCAATATAGCCATATTGGTGTAACCATCTGACCCCTTGTATCGGGTACAAGCCTGAAGCTCTAGTATGTCGCATTTGTCGGGGACAATCGGATTGACAGTAACTGACAGGTCGAAAGATTGACTGGGCCGAGGTAGAATGCTGTATTTCACGTTGACCTATAATTGCAGCAATATAAACATTCATAACATTATTTCCTTTTATTTACAATTTTTGTCTTCTAAGTCAAAATAGGTATTAAAAGTACTGGGTAAAGTGTGATATGGATTATTTAAATTCACATGCGAAAACTTTGAATTTGCAACGAATCGTGTTTGAACTTTGGGTACCTATTATAAGAGAGATTAGGCCATTTTTCAGACTTAAAAATACCTTAAGAGATTTGGCCATTTTTTAGACTTAAAATTACCTTAATACCTTAAATAAGCCTGCAATAGCTTAATATTTTGATTAATCCTATAATATTAGGAATGGAGTAAACAAAAATTTCGAGCGTTAAAAATGAACTACAAGAAAAAAGCAATGGTGAAAACGCTTTACCTGTGCTACAGCGCAGCCGTCACCATGGACTGAAACATCAACGGAGGACGGTGTTTTTGGAAGATCAACATACTCAGGTATCAGACTGGTCTCTTCGTCCAATTTACATGGACGATCCAGATCATCAGTAATCACTAAAACAGACAACTGCGTAGTTGGCCTGCCTCCAAATACCGCATACGCGGTGATTGCTTGTGAAGCAAGTGCTGAGTCGTGTGTAGACACAAATCCACCAAGGGAGTTTTTGTGTCTCGTTAACCAACGAACAGCCATCAAAGCATCTTTCATATTCTGACCGCCGAGTTGGGCCATCGCGAGAACCATGTAAGATGTCATTTCGATGCTAGAGCTTAACGACTTCCTTTCTGGGTCCTCCCACCACATTACGTCCTTAAATTCATGAAGAAAATGTTAATCGTTAAAGTCTATTTATACAACGGTATCCGAAGTGATTTATTTCATACATTTTCATTTTTAGCGACGCGCAGCATTTCCTGTACGGCAGCTTTTGCAAGAGGATGTTCCATCAGAGTGAGTGCGTATGTAGTCATAATTTTGGTGTAAAGAATATTGTAGTAATTAAGCTTAGATCTTTCTATGCAATTCATAGCATTTTTGATCGTAGCGGTTGGCACTTCGAGTTTAGATTCTAGCAGCGAGATTAGAACGAAGACTGTCGTTAATGAATCATCAGTTTCACTCTGAAAAACAAACATATTACATTTACGTTTTCATCATCAGAATCGTTGTCAGAATTTATTATAGAAAACATCCAAATAATTGTAAATAATCATGCAATTCTAAAGATTTAAATTATTAAACTATCCGGTTTAGTCTAACTTTCTATTTGTTCTTCACGAACCTTCATATCTTTGTGAACAAGTGATCCTATAATGGGGAAGCAGCCATCAGATAATTGTTGTTTCACAAGCCAGTTTACACTTTGCTGAAGTCCAGATTCAGTGACGTAGATGTATTTTCGAGCCAATGCAAAAGCTTTTACCACGGACGCGGTCAGCCATATTGAACTTTTAGAGTCTTGGAATGTTCCGAACGAGCCATCGTTAAGTCTATAGTTGAACTGCGTCTGATATCCTGTGTTTGGCATAAAACGTTACAGCGCAGCCGTCACCATGGACTGAAACATCAACGGAGGACGGTGTTTTTGGAAGATCAACATACTCAGGTATCAGACTGGTCTCTTCGTCCAATTTACATGGACGATCCAGATCATCAGTAATCACTAAAACAGACAACTGCGTAGTTGGCCTGCCTCCAAATACCGCATACGCGGTGATTGCTTGTGAAGCAAGTGCTGAGTCGTGTGTAGACACAAATCCACCAAGGGAGTTTTTGTGTCTCGTTAACCAACGAACAGCCATCAAAGCATCTTTCATATTCTGACCGCCGAGTTGGGCCATCGCGAGAACCATGTAAGATGTCATTTCGATGCTAGAGCTTAACGACTTCCTTTCTGGGTCCTCCCACCACATTACGTCCTTAAATTCATGAAGAAAATGTTAATCGTTAAAGTCTATTTATACAACGGTATCCGAAGTGATTTATTTCATACATTTTCATTTTTAGCGACGCGCAGCATTTCCTGTACGGCAGCTTTTGCAAGAGGATGTTCCATCAGAGTGAGTGCGTATGTAGTCATAATTTTGGTGTAAAGAATATTGTAGTAATTAAGCTTAGATCTTTCTATGCAATTCATAGCATTTTTGATCGTAGCGGTTGGCACTTCGAGTTTAGATTCTAGCAGCGAGATTAGAACGAAGACTGTCGTTAATGAATCATCAGTTTCACTCTGAAAAACAAACATATTACATTTACGTTTTCATCATCAGAATCGTTGTCAGAATTTATTATAGAAAACATCCAAATAATTGTAAATAATCATGCAATTCTAAAGATTTAAATTATTAAACTATCCGGTTTAGTCTAACTTTCTATTTGTTCTTCACGAACCTTCATATCTTTGTGAACAAGTGATCCTATAATGGGGAAGCAGCCATCAGATAATTGTTGTTTCACAAGCCAGTTTACACTTTGCTGAAGTCCAGATTCAGTGACGTAGATGTATTTTCGAGCCAATGCAAAAGCTTTTACCACGGACGCGGTCAGCCATATTGAACTTTTAGAGTCTTGGAATGTTCCGAACGAGCCATCGTTAAGTCTATAGTTGAACTGCGTCTGATATCCTGTGTTTGGCATAAAACGCTAGTAATTAATAGCTACAAAAGAATAATTGTTACTAAACGGTGATAAACGCATTCTGAACGTAGGTCCACACACAAATCATCGGAACGTTTTTAGTTCTCTATTTTCTGTACTTAGGATTCGCAACGAAAGAATCTCAAAAAATTCTATAACACATCTCGCCGCGTTTACAATGTCAAGGAATACTTTCGGGATTCTCGCCACTAAATTGGGAAAGTAGGGTAAACTCGGTAACTAGAATACAACCCTTGAAATACAGTTTCGAAATTTGTACAATGTTTTTTGATAAGTAATACGACATATTACAAGGTTTAACTGCATTTTTGACCTCCTTATACATTTGCAAGCAAAATGAATTTAAAAAAGCAATTCCGTATCCAAGAGACTAATCCAAGACTATTTACTCTTTAAAAAAGTAGAGAAACACGAACACTTACAAAGTTCGTATATAAAAATTGATTAACTGGAAGAACTTGGTTTAGACCCTATTTTGATGATTTAGATTTTTGGTTTTGACCCTCAGGAAATGAAGTATCAATTACGTACCTTCTTCCAAATTTTTTATTTTATTTCGTAGAATCTCGACGTTTTTGGTCCTCAGAGAATCCAGATACTGTATCGTGAATATATTTGACAGGATCTTAGCTACGTTCTGTTCACCACCGCCTGTCGGCATTTTGACAATTTCTTTCACATTGTTGGATGTCAGTCCTGGAATGTTTCCTACTATAGATATCGTCCCTTCTACAGAGTCCTTTATGACATCATCAGGGAATGTCACATCGAAAGTGTACTGCAAAGCAGAAGAATCGTTCGTCGAACAAAGTAACTCTGTGGTCGTGTCCTCTGTTTTGTAACCTTCGCCCACAACTGTAATTGGTTTCGTAATCTCGATCCTTGAAAAAGAACGAACTGCAGATAGTTAAATGAATATTGAAAATACAATTTATAATTAATCATCACGTGGACGAGCATCTCGTCGGCCATTTATATTTATATAAATTAAATCCTCTATATAACAGGGAGTAAATTTAGTGAAAATTCTCGAGTAACGTAATTATATGAAAATCTAATCGTCTAATTCTATAAAATAGAAATCTCTAATTCTATAAAATAGAATACCGTCGAATTTGAATTACCGTGAGTCAGGCACGCCCGATTCTTCGCAGATTTCAGGATTCTTCCTGTCAATGGAAACGTCAACTGTAATATTAAACGTTCCAACCTTCCGTGGCTCTATAATGTATCGGTAATTTACAGTGTCTCGTGGTTGTATACAAAACGAGACATTCATCAAGGAACGAGAGACATTGAACCCGTGTATTTTCGTCTGGACAGCCACCTGAGAAAATCGATTTATAAAATATATGCGTTTCGTGCTAGGTACGTTTCATTTAATGGATTAGTCATTACAGGTATTTTCCGGTCCATGTAGTTGTGGAGACGGGCTTTCACGTCTGCTATTTCGTCGACCTTCATGACAGGTGGGAAGTCACATTCGAAGGAGAAAGGTCGATGCACTTGTAATAATCGTGGGGGCGCTACTCCGAGACCATGTTTCGGTGAAATGCATACCACATGGCTGGCCCAGTTAGCTCTCTGGTCCGGAACTGTGTATTCTGACGTTATAATGCTTGTATTTCTGTGAAAAATAATTTACAAGAAGTCCTGAGTTCTAAAATTCTTGCGAGTTTTTACGGAATGTTTAAGTTTGATGAATCGAAGCTAATATTCCGGTTTTAGGAGAAAATTATTTATAATTTGGAAAGTATTTAACGTTGAAGATATTGTTCGTATTTGTGTAATGAATGTAAGCAATTTTTATGAAAATTTTGTTTATCATAATCGGTAAGTATTAAAGATTTAAAGAAGTATCTGTACTCATCTAGTTGGTGTGTATAATGAAGGTACTCTGTACAACAATTAAAGTATTAAAGAATAATTCATACTTAACAAGCTGCATGTCCCACACCCATATTGCCGGGAAGTGTGATTTAAGCAGAGAAATTTCATCCACCCTATTTTTAATCGATAAGTCTGCAAATACGGAATCTATTAATGCAGAGTCAGAATATTTTTTTATAAATTGTAAACTTAACGCAATTCAATATTTCTATCTTAACTCTCCGATGTTAGTGCAAGTAGTACAATTTTGAAATTCTCAAAAAAAATTTAGAAAAGTAAATATCTGGGAATTCAAAGACTCGGTAGCTAGGAAATTTGGAATTTTGTGTAGAAATAATCATTTCGAATTTGGAAATGTAGAAGTAATTATTTCAAATAAAAAATCGTATAAATTTAAAAATACTTATCAGTTGTACAATGCTACTTAAGACTTCTTTTTTAACTTTTGCATAAGAAAGTTTATCATTGATAACCACGTCGAAATTAACAACGAGCAAATATATCATATTTATTGCTTAAGATATTATTAATATCGGGTAAATGTAAAAATACTTGCCAAGTGAGTGCGCATCTCTATCAGCCAGTTTTTTTGTAAATGATTGTGAACATGATTGTGTGGACTGTTTCATATTCGTCATCACCAGCGCTCCGAAATCCTACCAGAAAAAAGAAGAAAGCTTATAAAAAATTGGACATGTAAATTGAAGATAAAAGAAATATCAATTGATTATATTTATTTTCATTCGTTCTCGTATATCCCTCTTTGTTAATTCTACTTATTTTTTGAAATACAAGTTACGGAACATAGAGATATCATCTTCCACAATTATACGTATATTTATAAACGTGGATATTTAGTATTCGATAATACTTTTTGGACCCTCAACAAATTTGGGAATTTCAATGTTACTCACTTTTAAATTTAGAAATATGGAAATAATGAAGTTTAGTAGCTTGCAAATTTTGTAATTTAATAATGTGGAAATTAGAAAGTTTGATAATTTAAAAATTTAGGAATTTAGAAATTTAGAAGGTTGGAAATTAAGAAATTTAAAAATTCAGTAATCTGAAAAGAGCTAATCAAAATGTCTTACACTGAAAGCTTGCATCTCATTCACGTACTGAATTGGTCCGTTATTTAAAACATCTACTCGGTTATCTGAAAATTCTTCATCTTGATGGCCCGTAAAATCTGTACAATTAAATTTTCTGTTACTTAGACAATTCAGTTACACAGATAGCATAAGTAGTTTATAGAAACGTACATTTACAATCAGACTGCAGGGTAATGCCTTCCATGGTAATTGGATTATTTCCCTTCGCGGATTCAAATACTACCAAAGAATTTATGAAATTATCTGTTAATCCTAGAAGGGGTGGTGTTTTCTTGGCAATCGATACCCCACAAAGAGAGTCTGGTGCAGCTTTTATATTGAATCTAACAGAAGACCCTTGGTTTTGGACAACGGTGGTGCTCCATTCGGTACTCACATCGTTATTGTAACAATAACCAACGTCTATCATGTGGCTTGCAGACACGATTTGACCATTCGATCGCACATAATAAACCAGTAATTCGGACATTGGGGCCATGGTTGGTGTTATTTCAATGGTTATTTGAAATCTGGCAATAACAAAGTATATATCAATGCAATGATAATTTTACACTGCAATTTCCGCTGGGGAAATACCCGTTTGATGAATACCCGTTCAAAACGTCCTCACTCGCAAGCATTACTTATACAAAAGTAGTAATTAATAGAAAACAATCATTAGTATATTACTTGATTATCTAAAATCTGATTGAAACGAAGATATGTGTTAATGCATGCTAATTTTAACGCAGAATATTGCTTGTTCAACAAATGCCCGCTCAATAAATGTCCGCTTGCTTGTTCAACAAATGCCCGCACAATAAATGTCCGTTCGCTCGGACAGCTTAAATTCAACGTCTTCAAAACCGGGTATTTATCAAATGACCAG